TTTCCACTATCAATTCAAAAAACACCCTTTTTTCATTAATAAATACATACTTCCACTAAATATACAATAATAAATACATTACTATTTATTTACTGATAATGACGAGGTACTGCGCGAAATAGGTCGTATATAAAGGATGCGAAATGCCCATAATCTAAACGTAGACAGGTTTGACGTCATCATGACGTCACTATGAAACACCGATCACGTGACATAAGCCTTTCGGTTATGTCGTGACGTCATGTCCCTAGTGATAAGATCTTTATCCTTCGAAAATACATAATCTCTTATAACACTAGCAACGATGTCACCGTAATAAACCGATACATCCATAAGCGAAAACGTGTCCATTTTTTTATTAACAAAACACAAAACAGACTTCAAATATCGGTCTTTATTCATTTCATAATTGATTTTCACGAGTTCCCCAAACATCTCCGGAGCCCGAGATCGAATAGCGATGAAATTAATATGACCACATGGAAAACACCAGCTTTCAAATAAAAAAAAAATAATCATCAAAATCGATTCACTCAGTCGGAAGTTCTGAGGTAACAACCAAAAAAAAGTCGAATTGAGAACGTCCATCTTTTTTGAAGTCGGTTGACAAGCCATTTCGTCCAGAGACAATAGGACACGACTGCGTTTAAAAATCGAACTCGATTCCTACTCAGGCATTTGCGCGACAAAGGGCGTCGATTATAGAACCGGGTGAGACGTTTTCTAAGTCGCTGACACTGGACCCAGACCACAAGCCGCCCAACGTAAAGTTACTTAGCTCGCGAGTGTGTATGATAGAGAAGATGTCTTTATATTACTTAGCTCGCGAGTGAGTGATAGAGATGATATATACCTCTTTATATGTATATAAGTTTTTCATTGAAATGGGGAATGTCGCCGAAAGCCGAAATAACCTCACAACCTAGTCCGGCGACGGTTGATATTGAACTATAGCAGTTATTAGTAACGTTATTGTGCATTAGCATAAAGTATAAAATTGTACAACTAAAAGGTAATAAACTTTATTATTATTTCTCTGCCGAAAACCTTATATATCCGTAGCCACTTCATTCAAAACTATATCTTTATATCTTCAGAGATATGGTTCATTTTCCTTTGTTACATACGTCACTGAACAAGTGAACGATTTACAATGGACACACCTTTCAACTCGGTAACTCGGAGAGAGAGAAAGATATACATATAACTGCATATTACAGTATTCGTGGGATAGAAAGAGACAAACAATACGAGATTCAGAGTACGATCGTTTACAACGGAGCATAAATAAATTCTTTTGTTCAGTTTTGTAAACGTTAAAAAAAGTGTTTATTTTTTTTCCAACGGCTAAAATTTGCATTTGTTTTATATCGAATTTAATTGATTTTGGTATAGCTTGAGATCGATGTAATTAACGATAAATGTCACTGTACTTGCTGTTGTGTATTCGCAACTCGCCGATGTCCTTGACCAATGCAAATCGGGCTTAAAAGATGGGTTGACATAATTATATCAGCCAATTTAAAAGATTTTTTTTTCTTATGCGTGAAAGTGGTGAACGTGTTGTTCACCCAACGTTTTGTAGTAACCACAGCCGATTGACATTTGCAACAACCGTAAGGTTGCAGATGCGATACCGCCTTTTAATAAAGTTGGCCCCGTCTACCTCACTCACCAAACGAAACGCAGAAGTATAATACGACGACTACACGCCGGTCTTCTGTGAGGTCGTGTTACTTAACGGGACGGACCCTGCCCATTCGTGCAACATAAAAGACTGTTGCGTTCTTTTCAGGGATATATTCTGCTCAACTCTACAACCTACCACATCGTATTACTAAAAGGGAGAACGAATGAGCTTACTGCGTATAGAATAACAAAGGGAATATCATAATGCCAATGGCAATAATAATCATATTTTATTGTAAATGAATAGTTATTATATTTATGAGTATGGTAATAATTATATTCTGTCCTGCTTGGTTTGAACGGTTATTCGAACTGAGTGGCATATTCAACAAATGTCCCGATGTGGTTTGCGGGACTCTATCCAACGTGTGGGTTGATGACGAAACAATTGAGTGTAAATAAGATCTCTGCGTTCACCGGACAACTAAAAAGTTGTTGTTGTTTATCCCAAATATATGTAATTCAAAATAATACGTCGCATAAAAATATACATTAATTAGTAATGGGACTATAAAATCGTCTGTAAGCCCGAAAAGTAGAAGAAGAAATCTATAACATATTCGTGCGGTACCAAATTGATAAAAACAGAGTAATTTGGAAAAATAGCGTAACACTCAACATTGTGGGATACAAAATCGTAACAGAGTTACCGGCGCCATATGTCTCACTTTATCACGTATATAAAGTAGTTATACGTTCATTAACTACACTGTGTTAATTAAAACAGTGAAACTTATCTATTCCCACAACAGATAACAAATAATGTTATAACACAATAACATAATCATCTAAGATGTTGCTACTGAATAAAAATGTAAATAATAATAATTAGGAAATGAATAAAAAAAGACAATATTACAAATAATGTAAGTGATTGCATTGTTACGTTATCTGCAAGTAAAGAATTAATAAATTTGTTTTCGAAGTTAAACGAAACCGAAATTCGTTAATTATTAGGAATATGGCTAAAACATAAAAGATAAAGTTTACGGTGGTAGGGCCACGCAGCAGCCTCGGCTGTTGCACGAATGGGCAGGCCCGTCCGGGTATGGACCACGACCTCACAGAAGACCAGCGTAAAGTGGAAGTATAACAAATACTTTCGCGTTTCGTCTGGTGAGTGAGGTAGCCGGAGCCCAATTTTCAAAAGGTTGTCAACGCATCTGTAACCCTCGGGTGTGGCAGATGTCCATGGACGGCGGTATTCACTTATCACATCAGGTGAACCGTCTGCTCGTTTGACATTTCGCATAAAAAAAATTAAAAAGTCACCAATTAATTAAGTGATCGTAAAAACAAAGTAAATAAATACAGTGAAAAATTATCGTCAACTAATATTTACTATGATATCGCTTTAAAAAAAATTAATATACATATTTAACAGAATCATACTTTTATTCCACAGAAGTACCTAAAATGATTTCTATTTTTATAGTAACAATAATAATATCAATTACGTATCCTTTAGACATTGACAACCCTACGCAAAATACTTATATTGCCGAAGGACGCCTAAAACTTCAATAAAACGGTAAAATGTTTCGAAAAGAATGACAAATGTGACAAATACGTTTTCGTAAAATTTATATGGAGTAAATCCGTTTCGGTGGTCATCAAGCACATGGAAATATTATTTAAATAAGCTCTAGATACATTTAAATGTAACAATCACAATAAGCAAATATGCATAACATTACTTAAATAACACTAATATACATGTTATTTAACATAAATTCCACACATATTATGCGAGTACTAAATGCAAAAGAAAAACCGTAAACTATTGCACTTAAAAGTAATACATAGAAAACATTATACATTTAGTTTAAGCTGACAACCCTAACGCTAGAACCACATTAAAATTACCGATATTAGAGAAATCAGCAAAGGGAACTTCAATTAAAAGGAAGTGACGTCAGAAATATAACAAAAGAGAATAATATGAACGGTACCTAATAAGAATTAACAGGTGAATAAATCTTCCAAAATAAGCTTATTATCTTAGTTCAAAAGAACAACAAAATAATTTTATGTTAAACTTACATTTAAGTATGATTTAAACACATTCAAGGTATATTTAAATATGAGGAGATTAACACATTCAAATACCGTACCACAATATACTAAAGCAACACAAAACATGCTATTTGAAATATAACCTAAAACTAATCCATGACCCTATTTGAAGAAACAATGGCTGTCATTCCATGGAGATCGTTGTTCCGATATAGATAGAAGCATAAATGACGGAGAAGTGTTTTAAGATAACCTAAAATCGAATCATTGCAGCGGTGAGCACAAAAAAGCTAAATCACGAATGACATTAAAACATCCATCACTCAACTTCAAGCGTAAGCGAAAACGACCACGTAATCCTATACGATAGTACGCTATTTACCTAGCAATCGATGCAAATATACATATTTATCTCACAAGGCGCAAGCAAAAGGTCGCTAACCGATCTGCCAAGCTAAATAACTCCCGCGCGTTTGGCAGCATTGCAAAATCAAGCCCCAAACAAATACATAACCTAAGTAGAATCGATGTACATAAACCACATATATGATATATAGCGTACAAAACTTATAACATTATCGCAAAAATAATAAAGCACTCGCAAGTAGCGAGGCAGCACACATAAATTATGTCCTACTCACACCAACGCACTATTCTATATCGCACATCCCGCTTACATCAATTCAAATATGTAAGAACTGTAACAGATGTTATAAAATTGTGTTTAAACGCTAATTTATTGTCAACATTAGAAAGCAATCTAAAAATAATTGCTTCGCGAACACGACGACAACTTAACAGACGGGGTTAGGCTAGGTCATCAAATGTCTATTCCTACTTTCGCTCAATTTACTATCGCAAGTACCTATCAGTGTCGTCATCAATAGTGCAACGTGTTAATTCACGGTAAAAGAGGGGAAAAATATATTCTTCTTATAATAAAATTTCTTAGAAATTATCAATGCAACAGAGCGCGATCAAAACATTGCGGTCACAGTTTGATGTCCTAATGTTGTCAACGTTCTTCCAAGATTGTTGCAAACATGGCGACCGATATCTGGGCTTCACGTAGTGTTCGTGGACGCAAAATCATGTTACAAACCTAATGCATTGCTGTGTAACGTAAGCAAAAATATCTTCTGCGATAGCAATGAAGTCTAACTTAAAACAGCCTTTGCCCGCCTAACGCAGGAAGCTAACCTTATTTTTATTTTCCTACAATATTCTCTACACTACAAAGAACTGAAAAACCAGTATGGTTGCGTAAATTGCTATGATTTTCTGTTATAACTTACCTCTTCTGTTATGACTAGTTCCTTGTAATTCAGCTCGGGATATTTACTTTCGTTGCTTTCATCCAAATTTATAGTTAATCTCACTGTTTTAGTCACATTATTCTTTGCACTTTTTGGAGCACCCACTGTTATAAGAGTAGCACGTTTGGGGTCCGACATTTTCCACCAAATTCGAGTATAAAATGATTTTTTTCAAAGCATGACACGGCCTGCATTTTCAAACTGTGTAGCACATTGCCTCCATGTTGGAATTCATTGTTTGGGTGGAGAGCGCCACGGGTGAATCGTGAACTGTGATTCTATTCACAATTTCGCTTCATAGATGGCAGAAATATATTTCGCCATTTCGTAAACAACGCTGTAAAGACACATAAAAACTGGTACAAAATTGCTTATTTCACTATTCAGAATTAAATCGGTACGTTAAATTCAATTTTAATATTAATTTTGAGTTAAATACTTGCAGAAACAGTACAATTATTTATATCACAATGTTGTTTAGGGTGTTACCCTTTGACAGGAGGAACGATCAGATGATTTCAAATGTTTTATATAGTGGCCGCTAGGTGTCGCTAATATTAAAACTTACCAACATTATACCTAGAAATGTTCAAAAAATGTCTTTGTTATTGCAATTAAACAATTAAAATATTAGATTTTCATATTTTTTGTATAAAAACGTGATCCATAATGTATTATTTAATATTTATCAAAGACTACTATTGTATACTGGAAATAATGTTTATATTCCGGGCCACCCGTCGTGCAATGCACAGGTGTTCAGTTTCTAATATTTAAATTAATTATTTTAATTTCATTTAAACAATTTGTTCTCGTAGGAATTTATGTTTAGATACCTACTAATTGTGTGCCAAATGACCTACGAACGCGGAGATATTAACAAAATACTGCAATTAATTCATTATCAGTATTTACAATATATTCTGTAGTATAAGTATAAAGTTATATATAAAGTTGTCGTAATTTATAAAAAAAACATCCATATTTATTTCTTAAAAAGTACAAAACAGTTATCATGGGTATTATATCAATATGACAATCTCATAGGTACTTATTTGCATCTATTTGAATGAAAAATATATTATTAATTTTTCCAGGCATGGAGCATATTTTAACAAGTTTGTTTTTGTTGAGGCTTATATTATAAAGGTAGTACTTAAGAAAGAATTCAAGACTTGTTTCTAGTTAAATACCGATCATTATTATTATCCTATTACTTTTATCAAATACATCAATTTTTAACCAATATCTAGTATGGGACCTTCTGCATATTATTATTAATATTAAAGCGATAAGGCACGCGGTTCGTGGAAACATTTGTATTTGTTACTAAAATAATGTAAATTAATGTTTATGCTTAACTGTATAAAATAAAAATAAAGAAAAAAAAAACTTTTTAAAAATAAGCTTTGCATTTTTATCACATACCCAATTTTTTATAAATTTCCGCTCAATCGGTAACCGGGAAGTGGATCAAATTTAATTTGCAAGATTTGATAACCAACATCGGGACAGTTGAAACTGCTAAAAATAAAAGCTTATAATAAATACGTTTTCTATTTTTTTTTTGTGAGAGAGAGTGATTAGCTGATATTTGATTTGATTTTATTTATGTGCAGAAGCAAAAAATAATTGTAAAAAAAAAATCGAGCACGCACCTAATGTTAACATTTTTCGCCAACAGATGTCGCTGGTCGTTGTTGAATCGCATGAATCGCAATATCGCGAATGACAACCGCAAATGCAGTAGGTCACTGAGACAGCGATAGAACAATATCATCATAATCATTATATTTTTGAGTGCAGGAATAATCTGTCACATCGGTCTGTAAAAGAATAATGAATGTAAGTTTTTTACGGTACGGTCAATTGGTGGGGGCGTAACAATCTAGCTTTTTTTAAAATAATACTCGAGCAACTGTAGTTCAAACTTCAGGTATCTTAAGACAAGTACCTGTTGACGATATTACGAAGAAACTTATATAACAGTAATTCTTATTCCACACAAACTGCGCTGTCAACAAGCTTTTCTCTATTCATGCTTGCTTACGACTTTTGCCTTAGCTGTTTTACTGAATATTCTGTTACTGTAATAACGGCTTTGCAGATTTGTACAAAGAATATTACCAAAGTTTCGCTAGTCTATTGTTTACCAGACTAGTCTTAACAAACATGGTAACATAATTGTAGTGATGACTAAAAAACCAATAACTAATAACTACACTAAATACTACTAACTCATACAGTTAGTTATAAATAGAGTAAGCGTGGAATGAGTTAAAAATTATATTAAAGGTATCATAACATGCTACACGGAGAACGAGGTTCGAATCCTGCTGCCCCGAAAGTTTTTCTTTACAAAACTTACGTATTGCCAAAACAGAGAGCGAATAATGCATACTTATTTAAATATCTTAAGCTAAGCATAGGACAAACTAAAAGAGCAATAAAAACTCGCTTGAACAAGTCTACAGTCTGTGAGCATGTGTAAAATCGCCCCAACCACTATATCTAGTTTGATAGATCACAAATCCTTTCACACATTCCAAAAGAAAACCTTTCAAAGATTCCGTCCAAGTACGATTCGCGAAGCTATATACATTCTTATATATTCAATAGAGAAAGCAGTTCCTTCTTCTTCAGCCTGTGTTTGCCCACCGTTGCGCATACGCCTCTCCAATTTTCCTACATTCAGCATTCGTTTCCCTTGTCCAGACTGGGCATGCGGTATCCTTAATGTCATCGGCCTGGTGGTCTGCCATCACCGAAAATAACAATAATTGTATATTAAAAAAAAAACTTTATTTAACTTTATGTCCACAGCTTATTTATTTCCTTGTTTATCGTGTTTTTATATTAAACTAATTGAGTGTCAAACAATTCTTGCAATGCATGAACGAAACGCCACCGTTGACCACAGATTCGCGCGGTCAAGTAAATTGTCATTGTCAATCAATCTTAAATCTGTCATGAATGTGTAGCAAAGAGTACCTACTTTGTTCAACCCTCAAGTAATTCTAAACTTTGGTATACATAAAGATACGGTTGATCCCAATAATACGCTAAAACAAATTATCACTCAACATTGGCATGACTGGTTGCTCATGTATACTGATGCATCTAAATTAACTAATCAAGGCTGTACTGGCTTTGCAGTGTGGATACAGAACAGTACAGAATAATACTCAATAACAAGTGCTCCTCTTATACTTCAGTATTTACCGGCGAATCTCTGGCAATTCTAGAAGCAGTCCTCTACTCAGAATCTCATAATATAAGTAAAACCTTAGTCCTTTCCGATTCTTTAAGTTGTCTAAAAAATCTGTTGTCAAACCCATTCCGTTCGAAGTTTAGGAACCCAACTATTTTAAAAATCAGGGAGACTCTGTTAAAGTGTGACCTAAAGGGACTAAACGTAGACCTTGCCTGGATCCCAGGACATTGTGGAATTCAAGGCAACGAATGTGCAGACCAACTGGCTAAAGCAGCTTCAACTTCTAACTCTCTTTCCTTGCAACATACTTTTTTATATGATTTGATACCATCAGCTAGTTCCGTAAATCTAAACTTATTTCCGGTAAACATTATGCTCGTGCCCAAGAAGACATTCCCAAAAAACCCTGGTTCATTTGCCGTCTCCACCTTGGACATAGCTGCACACCTGTTCACTTAGCCAAGCTTAGAATCAGGGATAACTCAATCTGTGAGTGTGGGCTGGACGAAGGATCTCCTGAACATTTTTTGTTTGTCCCAAATTAACTTTCTCCTTATATGACTTCCTCCCTCCTAATATTCCACGTCCTACTAATATGTCTGTCATATTATCCCTTGTTTTTACTCCATTTGTCAAAACATTGTGTGATTTCATCCATGTAAATAAAATAAAATGTTAATGTATTTAGATTTTGTGATGTGCGCATTTGTGACATATATTATTAAGGTGATGGGTTTTAAATGTAATGTGCAAATGTCTCTACTTTCAGGTTGGAAATCTCAATATAATCTCCAAATTTTATCTGATCTATAAGTACAAACGTCACTCCTTTGACTGACATGATATTGGCAGAATTCTTTTAAGAGAAGCCATTTATAAAAGAAAGAAGAAGAGTACCTACTTTTATATATCTGATGTGTAGTGTCGAGGGCTGTAATAATAACAACCGCGGCCTGGAAGCCTAAAAAGGGCATACAATATTTTGTGTTTGATACGTCGAATTTCGTTCGCCAAATTTAACCTTCCATAGAACGAATTTAACGAACATTTTGTTAGTGAGATAAACCAATGCCTTGACAGTGAAATAAGGTCAGTTTTGATGCCCTGTCTTAAAAGACTGCGTCTGACTAGGAAGTAAAACGAGAATGACTTACCGGAGTATGTATTCAGCATTACTACTTAAACATTCCCTGACAACTTGCTGGAAGGAAGAGTTCTACATACAAATAGATGATGTAGCAATAGCCTGCCCAGTATTTCTCATTATTGCTGACATAAGACTGAGGGGAAAGCCGTTTGCACAGCTCCCATTTTTAAGATTTTATAAGAACAAGGTATCTGTGTCAGAGGACACTTGGCACAGAGCACAGAGCTACGACATGGAGTTTTCAAGTTCAAGTTTTGTATGACAACAAGTTTAGAGTGCCACACATATGTCACTATTTGCTGCTGTTTTATGATATTACAGAGGAGGCACCAACAAGATTGGGTACATCTTAAGCCGGCTGAAACGAATACTTTCTGAAAGACGCTGAAGTAGTCCCATATTCACATGTGGGCTCTCTTACATAGGATAAACTGAAAGAGCAATAAAAACCTGTGTGAAGGAACATAGAACTTTATCTTGTAAGTAATTTGTTCCTTCACACAGGTTTTTATTGCTCTTTATGCATATACATATTAGATCAAACAAGTCTGCAGTCCGTGTGTACACCTTAAATCATCCTGACCATTTCTGCATAGATCAGACAAAATTAATAATTTAAAAACTGGCAGTTGATGGGGCTTATAATATTATATAATATACAGAAATCCAATGCCTGTTGGTCTTGTGATAATGACAATGTTAGCATTGTCATGATCACAAGACATTAAGGTTCAAACACATTAAAAAAATATGTGATAAAACCATAAAAATAGTTCC